TTCCATGTGTTTATAATTGTTATATCTTCCTGTCAAACTCTTCCCTTAACTAGTATATAGTAACATTCTGTGCCTCTTCTGATCAGTTTTTTTTTTGTACCGGGGTTCAAACTCAAGTCCTTGCACTTGTGCAGCAAGTGGAAAAACCATGAAGCTAAATCCTCGGCCCCTTCTGATCAGTTTTGACTTGAAGTCCACTTGAAAAGAAGATAACTACTTCTTCTAGATTTCAGGTTCTAATTGCATGGAATATTGTTTTCCATCCTTTCAATTTTAGTTTATGAATTTTTTGCATTAAATGTGTTTCTTGTGTAGTGCAAACTGCAGGATTTTATTTCTTGATCCATTCTACCAGCCTGTCTTTTGATAGAGGAATTGAGATCATTCATATTGAGAGTTATTACTGAAAGGTATTGTTTTATTACTATCATCACATTATTTTCCTGTTGCTGATTCCCTATTTTTCTCTTCTGGTTAACGCCTCACTCTAGCTAGTGTATTCATTCTATTGGATATGTTAGCATTGTTGGTTCTGTTGTCTTTTTCTAGGATATCCTTCAGACCCTCTTGGAGTGCTGGTTTGCTGGTCATGAATTTCTTTTTTTTTTGGTCATGAATTTCTTTATGTGCTCTTTGTCATGGAAATATTGTATTTCTCCATCAACTTTAAAAGATAGTTTTGCGGATTATCAGTCTAGGTTGGGTGTTTTTTGTGTGTTGGGTCCTTCTAAGCTTTAAGATTTGTATCAAGAAGTTTGCTGTAGTTTTAGTGGTTTTGCCTTTAAAATAAACTGCTGCTTTTCACTAACAGCTTTTAAGACCCTTCTGTTGGAGTTGTGGGGTTTTGACTATGATGAGTGGTAGAGGTTCTTTTTTGATCATAGCTATTTGGGGATTCTATATGCCTCATTTATGTGTATGTTAAATTTTTGCCTATATTTGGTAAGTTTTCTGCTGGTATTTCTGTACACAGGTTTTTATGCCATTTGTGTTGTCTTCTGATTTTTTCCTAATTCCAATTAATCTTAGCTTAATTTCCTTTGTGTAATCTGGCAGCAATTGAATCCATTTTACATGTTCTCTGCTTCTTTATACGGTATCATGAATAATTCAGGACTGACCTCAGCCCTATTTCTAGTTCTGACACTGTCCACACATTGGTCATGTCTGCTGCCCATACTTTTGGCAGAATGTTTAATCTCCTGAATTTTTGCTTGGTACCATTTCATGGACTCTGATTCTTTTCTATGCTGAGAATTCATTTTCTGTATTGCTTTATTTAGTTCAGCTAGCTTTTTGTTAGTGTCTTCTGTAGTCTCGCTGATTGTTTTGTTTATTAGGCCCAATATCTGCTTAGTTATAACCTCTTTGAGCTCACTGAGCAACTTATTGACCCAGTTTTAAAAAAATCTCCTCTGTTATCTTTTTAAATAATTCAGCTGTGTGGCTTTCAATTTCCTCCCCTTTGAGGCCCTGGATCAGCTTTGCAGGACTTTGGAGTTTTGGGAGGTATTTGGTTGCTTTGCATTCTCACATTTCTGTTACTGTTGTTATTTGCACTGAGGTTTACATGTTGATTATACTGGAAGACTTCATTGCTAGTATGAAGACCTCTTTAGTTAGGGCCTTCTTTACAGTGATGCACTCTGGGCATGGGTAATTATAGGCCTTTGCCCCTGTACCAAGATCTGCATACCTCCATTTATTTGGTAGGGGAGGCTGCAGTTTATTTTACCCAACACACAATTCTCCAAGAATGGGCTACATTATTTTTTGTTTTGTTTGTTTTTGTGGCACCAGGGATCAAACTCAGGACCTTGTGCTTGTGAGGCAGGTGCAGCACCACTGAGCTAAATTCCTGGCCCTACATTATTGTTAGTGACACAAGGCAATCCAGGAATTGGAAAAGAGAGAAAACTAATTACTAGTAAAACTATGCCACCTTGGCAATTGCAACAAAATCAGCAACACTGTTAATATCAAAGACAAACTGGATATTGACTCTAACAATGAAATGAAGTACTTCCCTTAACCATAGAAAAGAGATCTATGATAATAATATAAGCACTAAGACAAGTCAAATATTAACATACAGTAATACTACATTCAACATTTATACCTCCAGAAACAATAGAACAATATTTAACAGTAGTGGCATAGAGTTAATGATCTAAAGATTCACAAAGCTTAATGGTTATACTAGCAAAAATAGAGAAGTTGGAGAACTGGAGAATGAAAAAGTAAAAGCTGAGAAATTAATCTTTGGACAATAAGAAAGAGGAAAGAAAACTTATATAGAGGATCCTATTGAAGAAGAAAAGGAAATTGATGGTATTAGATAAAAGTAAAAGAAGAGAACAAACCAGAATAAGAAGAAAAATAGCAAAATAAAGAAAAATAAATAGGAAAGAAAAAATTCTTAAAAGGTGAAAAGAAAACAAGGATGAAAATCCCAAAAAATCAATGAAGGAAAGGGAAAAAAATTGAGTAAAAATTTTCTATGTTATTTTGAATTAGTGGTCTCTTTTCAAGATCCAGAGTCTTGGAATTCAGCAAGTCATGGTTTTCTCCCCTTAGCTCTATGATCCGTAGGTTTGTGAGGTGCTCCCCCATCATGTCAGAGGCCCCTCTGTCCATACACCCCAGACCATAGCAACCGTCAAAGCCAGGCCATATCTGTTCTCATCTTGGTAGATGGGGAAAGCAATCATACCAATGGTCTCTGCAGAATGTAGGCTGTGGGGTGGGGGTTCAAGGAAATGGCTAGACCTAATGCCAGCACTTTCAAATTCAGCCACTGGTGAAAGTCACATTTGTGGGGCCTGGCTTTTCACTATGGAAAGTGAAGCTTGTGTCCTTCCTTTCCTGGGCTTAAACTTCTCAGCAGGGTCTATGAGTAGTCCTCACCCTCTCTACATATGTCTTCTATGGCTGTCTTTCACCCAGTCACTGTGTAACAGTAACACTGGAAGCCCTGATGTGGAGTTGTCCTGTAATTACTCTGTGGCTCTGTTTTAAACAATTAACCCCTTCCCTGACTGGGGATTTAGCTCAGTGGCATAGCGCCTACCTTGCAAGTGCAAGGTCGTGAGTTTGAGCCCCGATTCGAAAAAATAAAACCCTTCCCCAAATGGCACCTGATTAAGTATTCTTTGATAATATTGTGGGCACTGCACTGGGTTTCTTCTCCAACTCCAAACTGCTATGAAGGAGTCCCTTTTATAGTAAAACCCCACATGGTTTTTGTAGTTTATTATAGCTGTGGGCTTTTCTTGGGGCTGGTGCTGGTGTTCATAATTTCCAGAGAGGCCAATCCTCTGGGCTTGTCTTCATTCTTTGGTCATTGTTCTCATCTATGATTAGGTTGATCCAGTGGCTGGTGCTTCTTCTGTTTTCTGCCAAGAAGAAACAAAACGCAGAGCCAGCTCCAAGTCAGTGGGTGGCTGGGGGTAGGGCATGGAATCCACAGGCACAAACTTGGTTGAGGGCCAATATGTTGTTGCATCATCCACCCACATGATACAGCTGCATCATTTGCCAAAGTAACTTCCTTTATTTGATTTGGTGTTCTTTAGTGTTGGGCAAATGTCTAATGTTTTTGTGATGAAATTGAAGAGATGATGAATCAGGCACTGCCACAGGCTAGTTCTTTCACTGTTTGAGTTGTGAGCTCAATTAGCCAGGCTTTTTAAAAAAAGACATCATTTTTACTCAAATGGTCATGTCCATAATTTCTCAATCTGTGAACCCTCTGGGATTATCTTCACTCCCTGGGCATTGTCATAATCCATGATCAGTTTGGTGCCTTTTCTCTTCCCTGCCAGAACCACTGGTAGGCAAACTATGATTATTTAAACTTGAATGTTTTGCAGACAATTTTTTGAAAATCAATCCAGTAAGTCTGTCACTTCAAGAAAAAACAACTGAGAAAAGTTACTGCCAATGACAAAAATTTTAAGGTTTCAAGCTCAACCTTGAATTTTGGAAAAACTTGTATCCACCACTGTGAGCTTGACAACTTTTTTCAGCCTATACTTTTTTTTATGATTGAGCCACCATAAATCCACAAGGAATGTTCAGATAGAGTGCTTCTGAAATGTTTCACCCCTCTGCACAGGTGCAGCCTGCATCAAAGGTGGAGTGGACTTCTCCACTTTTGCTCAGGCATGAGGAGACAGATGGGGCCATTACTGCTGAGCACCAGTAGCAGGAGGAACAGTTATCGCAAGGGGTTTGGCGGCAGGAATCATTGGTGAGGTTTGAGGGGAGCAAGGGTTGGCACTGAAAAAGTCCATGACATCACGTTGGCACTGCTAACAGGGGTACTGCTGTCCCCTACCATGCTAGATGAACCCATTCAGGCCTGGTCCTTTACAACAGTATTTGAAATAGGAGTGATCCATGGACTCTCCTGCACTGAAATGTGACTGGTGGTCACATTGCAACAGCTCATCCAGGAAATCTAAGGTCAAGGCTGACAAGGTGCTCATTTTCACTGTGGACAAAGTAGAAATGAAGGGAACCCAGTGATTTAAGCTTTGAGTCCGAGTATATTGAAATCCCAAATGTCTCATATAATAACAGTCTGGGTTTAGACAGCTGCTTAATCTCTCTTTGTTTCAGTGATCTCATCTGCAAAACGGGTACAATAATGGCACCCGCCTCAGAGGGTTGCCATGAGAGAACACAGGTAGAAATCTTAGATTGGGCCTCTTACATCAGCACTCATTATGTAGTAGTAGAATTCAGCTCATCACCCCCCAGCACCAAAGAAAGAGTTCAACTCACCTCAGCTGTAAAAATGCAGCATAAGTGGTGCCCATTTGAGGTGCAAATGCAGAAACTAGGTTCTTTCACTACTGCTTTTGTAGTGGTGGTTGTTGGTTTGATTTGGTTTTGTGGGATCAATTTACTCCTGAAGAATCAGCTATCCCTTTATGGAGAGTATTAATATGCAGCGTTTGTCACCATGGAGACAGTCAACATAGAGACTCCGGGGTCAGATCTCCCTGGAGGCTATAAAAGAACGCTCAGGGCTTTTTTATTCTCTGAAGTCAGAAGAGTGCCATCTACTACTACCCAGTCAGTAGGGTGACTGGGAAGGAAAAAAAAGGCACCTTAAATTGAGCAACTTCATAGCACTTCCTTCCCTGGAACCTGTCCAGGCACAGGAACTTGGGACAATCCTTACCATGTTTTTAACTGCAGCAAATCCACAGTCTTTCTCAACTCCAAGCTGGCAGATTGAGAAGAAGTATTCAACTAGTGTGCTTACTGGGAACTGGGTGGAAGAGAGGAGAAAGGTAAGGAGGAAGAGAGGGTGGACCAAGGGCTCAGAGGGAAAACTGACAGAGGTAGGAGTAAAGTTCATTATTATTTTCTTTTTTGGTTCTGCTACTAGGGATTGAACCCAGGGTCTTAACACTGAGCTATGTCCTCACCCCTTTATTAAAAACAATTTTTGAGACAAGTTTTACCAACTTGCTAACTGTCCTGGCTGGGCTCTAATATGAGATCTTCCTGCCTAGACCTCCCAGAGTGCTGGAATTACGAGATGCACCACTACCCCAGTTTCATTCCTGTTTGTAAATCAAAGGAATCTGGGGACTTCAATCTAAGGCTGATTGAAGTAATCACCCGGGTCCTCATTATATTTAGTACCACAGTGGAGGTGTCAGTATAGTTCTGCTTCTCAGAACTATTCTCAATGAAATGTTTCTAGGCATCTGGCTATTCCCTGTCCCCAGTCTTTTATGCCTTTATTTGAAGACCATCTCCACTCTTCCTGGCCTATCCCTTCCCAGAATGCGGCACCTGCTGAGGAAGGTGTAACACTCCCTGCACTGATGTCCAAGGATGTGCTGCTGTTCTGTAGCACTTGCTTCACAATCCTATCCTGCTTGTATATTTCACTTTTTACTTTCAAAACAGACATTAGAAAATGGAAATATATCCCCTGTTCCTTGATAGACAAAACCAAAATAAAGAAATGTTCATATGTCCAAAACTAAGATATAGATTCAACCAGGCATGGTGGTGCACACCTGTAATTCCAGCACTTGTAAGGCTGAGGCAGGAGGATCACTGAGTTCAAGGCCAGTCTAGGCTACATAGTGAGTTCAGGGCCAGCCTGAATTCCAAAGCGAGACCGTGTCTCAAAAAACCAAAACCAAAACTGAAACAAAACTAAGATTCAGATTTAATGAAATCCCAATCAAAATACCAGCAGCTTTCTGAGAAGTAGAAAAAAACAATTCATGAACAGTAGCAGGCATGGAGGTACATGTCTATAATCTCAGCACTCATCAGGCTGAAGCAGGAGGATTGTCATGGGTTTGAGGTCACTCACTGTGAGCTACCTAGTGAATTCAAGGTCAACCTGAGCTACAAAGTGAGACCCTGTCTCAAAAAAAAAAAAAAAAAAAAAAGAAATCCTAAAATTCATGTGAAACCGGAAAAGACCTAGAATAGCAAAAGCAATCCAGGGTAACAAGAGCAAAGTAGGAGGTGACATAACCCCGGATTTCAAGTTATATTACAAAGGTACAGTGAAACTAACTAGATAGTAGGAAATAGGGAGATAATTCTTTGACAAAGGGGGACAAAAAGATAGAGGGAGTGGAAGGGAGGGGAAAGGAAAGGAATGAAAAAATTAAGATGAGTTATGCACATGTAATCACTATGTATTACAAAAATGTACTTATAAAAATAAGAATAAATAAATAGGGATGATAATAGTCATCCCGTGTCCTGAAAAACAAACAAACAAAATACAGAATAGGCTCTTGGTGTTCCTTTGTGCTTTACCTTTGGAAAATACTTTGCTTCAATGGGTCTCCTTGAAATTAAACATCTTCATTTGTGGCCAGCAAGACTTAGCCACTTAGAGTTTTTCAGGGACATCTAGACATCATCATGCCTTCTTGGGGAATGGGTAAGAAAAAGGGAGAAGGTAGACTCAGCAGCCTTGGTGTGGGGAAGAGTACAAAAGGGTGATGGTAATATCTGAGAACCAGAAAGATTATTTTGGTGGGCATCACCTTTCAGGCCTGTGGTCATCATTAACTCCAGTTGCACTTGGCCTTGCTAGGGGAGCAGGTATGTGTAAGGGAAGTTTGAAGGGCCAGAAGGACTGGCTGAGCAATGAATTCAGGTGCCTTTGGGTGGTACAGTACTCAGGGATTTTATGAGCTGGTCTTATACAGAGAGAAGATGCCCTATATGATAGAGGTGGAGTGATATTAAGGTGATGGGATAAGAAGTCTGAGACCTATTTCTCTATGGGCACATTTTTTTAAATGGCTAAAATGTTATAGGAGCTTTGAAAACAGTCAAAGGTCTATAGAAACAAGTTGATTGTTTAATTAAGAAAATGCCACATTCAAAATGATAGAAATTTTAAGGGAGGGATTGTTTGTCCTATACTCATCCGCTCCTTAGTAAAGCATAGCATAGTCTGTAATCTGAGGAATATGGCGGGCCAGGTCCTAGTCCCTTCCCTTAAATCCAAAGAGGAGGAGCAATTCTAACCTTTCTGGGCTGCCTGAGAAGATGGTCTCTACTTCTCCTAACCTGGAGCTCAGGTGGGGAAAATGTGGCAGGGCTCAGCTCCCAGGATAGGAAGTCATGCAGAGCAGTAGCAGGCACAGCTAGTGAAAGCCACCTGGGGACTACAGATCTGCAAAAGTCTGGGGTAAAAGATTATGGATGGTGGGATATAGACCAGCTGCGGCCCAGAGAAGAAGCAGGGGTGAGACTCATGAAGTATTAAGACAATTAAAAAGAGATATATGTAAGGGAAACCTGGAAAAAGCACACACATCTTTGGGCAAGAAGTGTTCCAGAAAATGCCTGAGAATATTTTTAATCTTCATGATGGGTTAACTCCTAGACTAAGAACATGACCTGCTCTCTAGAAAAGATCTTTCCTTGTACAAATCCACTCTTCAGAGACTGGGAGCATTGGCGGATTCCCTCCCTCCAAATGCTTAATTTTCAACCACAGAAAATTCAGTAGGCATATAAAGAAACAGGAAACCATGGTTCACCCAAGGGAATAAAATGAAATCATAGAAACTCTCTCTGAAGAATAACACAAACATCAAATTACTAGAGAAAAGACTTTAAGACAACTGTCTTCAGTTTGCATAAAAATAAAGGAAAGCACATTCAAAAGACTAACAGAAAACAAGAAAATAATATTTAGACAAAGTGAGAATACAAGAAAAAGAGATCAATGACACTTTAAAACTGAGAAATACAAAACTTAATTGAAAAACTTAACAGATGAGTTCAACAGGAAATTGGAAAAGGCGGAAGAGAGAATCAGCAAATGAAAGTAGAGAAAAAAGCTTATGAAATCAGTATATTAAGGGAATTCCAGGGAGAGCAGAGAGCTAAAGGGGCTGTGTGAAAATACAATGGCCGAAAACTTCCCATATTGAAGTAAATGCATGGCTTTATAAATCAAAGATGGCAAATAAACTCTAAGTAGGATACATGTGAAGAAATACACCATGACACACATCATAATCAAACCACTGGAAACCACAGAATCCTCAAAGCACGAAGAGAAAAGTAGCCTGTCACGTAAAAGGAATCTGCAACGGGAGAGAATTTGGGAGCTAGAAGTTAATGTGACGATAGATTTTAAATACTAGAAAAAAAATTGTGAACTGAGAATTCTAGATCCCACAAAACTGTTCTAAATGATGAAGAAATTAAGACCTTTCAGATAAATGAAAGCTGAGGGAATTCATCACAAACAGACTTGCTGTACAAGGTACACAAAATGGAATCTGTAAGTGAAAATGAAAAGATGTTAACAACTTAAAGCCATAGAATATCAGGGCTTTAAATTATATGAAGAAAAATGTCCAAAATTAAAGAGAAGAATAGACTCCTGTACAGTAAATAGTCATATTTTTTAATATTAGGTAGAACAACCAAATAGAAGACCATATGAAAGTAGGAGGGTTGGACAACACTATGGACCATTTTGAGCTAACAGATATGTATGTAAACCTCCACCTGACAACAATAGAATATACATTTTTCTCAAGTGCAATAGAGGGACAGAAGTTCAGAAGTTTGGATGAGAAAATTATATAGACGGATGAGGGGGATGGTTGAACAATGTGAATATGCTTAATGCTTCCAAACTGTCTCTGATAACGATTAAAGGCTGTAAATATTTAATATTACATCATATTAAAATTTTAGAAAACATGATATAGTGAAAAAAGAGATAGAGTTGTGGAGTTGGGAAGAGTGAAGAATAATGAAGAAAAGGAAAAGGAAGAGACTGGTAAGTGGGAGGAGCATGGACAGAGAAGGTGAGAAAGAAGGCAGGCAAGGACCATGATAAGGTGGCCAGGAGAGCAGGAGAGCCAGATGTAGCTTCTCAGGATGCAGATGGCTGGATATCAGCCCCTGAGCCTTTCCTCAGTCCTGCAGAACATCTGGTTTGTATCCACCCTTTGTCTGCCAATCTTTTGATGCCCCAGCAAGTGAGGGACAGACACAGCAGAATTTGGAGGAAAGTGGCATCTCAGAGGTTCTCCTGAATGTTTTGTCTTTTTCAGTTCACCAGAGATACTGAGAAGGTCCCCCAGAGCATTCACAGAAGGGAGTATGTCCCCTTCCCGGGCCACAGGCCAGACCAGATCTCCAGGTGGTACGGGGAGAGGAGAGTTGAGGTAAGAGACAACATGGGCCCCACACTGAGACATGGGCTCCCCTCAAAGTTCATGAGACACAGCCAACTCTTGCAGGCTCAGTACCTCTTGGGCAAACAGGAGCAGTTTCTTGAACATCCTCTCAATAGGGCTTCCTGTGGTATTGCCGTATCACCACCTGTGTGAGTAGGTGATGTTTAATCTCAGACTGCTAACAGCCCTGTATAGGAAAAGGGTTGAAGTCAGGGAAAGAACAGAATAAAGACCTCCTTAGGCTTTATTAAAGACATTAATAGAAAATCTTATTACAAGTGGCTTTTGTCTCTGCAGTTAGATTCAAGCGATTAAAAGGACAAAGGTAGAGAAAGAGAGAGAACTCAGACCTGGAAAGGCACCAGGTAGACCAATTAACATAAGAATTTACCTGAGGAAGAGCTGATAGACAAAACACAGAGGAAGCCAGAAATATGGAAACCAGGCTAATCAACCCCTCCCCCAATAAAATAAAAAGGAGACATGGGGAGGCCACCTAACTCTCACTTAGTATATAAAAACACATACCCACACTTATGCATATATATATGTATATATATATAGTTTCAGGATATGTGTGTATATATATATATAGTCTCAGGATATATATATATATATATATATATTATCTCTAGGGTCACTATGTTACTGCATTAGATACACACACATCACCTTATTTAATCACTAACTGCAAGCTACCTTCCTATAAGCCCACCTTCAACTTATGCATCACAAAAGGGCAAGAAAGAGTCAAATGAAACCCACCAAAAGGAATGTGCACATAGGCAAAGGTGACCAGGTTATGGTCAAAGACAACCAGAGAGCCAATCAGGTTGTGACAAGTTCCAGGTACCTGCATGGAGGGAAGGGTCACTAGTCCTAATAAAAGAAGCCAGGGACGAGGACTCAGGGGACTCCATCTCTGCAGAACCTTCTGGCTGGCCACTCTTTGGGGGCAGCTTTCGTCTTCTGCTTTCTCCTCTTGACAAATAAAGCATCTTTCTTTCTTTAACTCTGTCCCTTTAATTCATTACTGTTGCTGAGTTTGATGCCATCTAGCTGCTCATCCCAGCAGTGCTCACCCTGGCTGTAACAAAACCATTTTCCTGTCCATAACACTTACTAAAAAAAAATTCCTAAACGTTTTATAATAAGCCTGTAAATCTGAGCCCCTGACCTGTCTTTTTTACCTATAAATTGCACTTTCTCCATCTTTAGGAAGCAATAATATTGGTGGGCAGCATATCTCAACTTTAAACACATGTAGATGGCTTGCATTATAACCTGACAGACAGTGAAAATATATATCCTAATGTTACAAGAAATTAATACTGGAGATGAAATAGGAAATATTATATCTCTCAACCTGTTAACTGTATGTTACACTGAGTTCCTGTTCTCTAGAATTTAAAGAATGAGTCCTAGGAACAATGGAGATTAAGAGTAGGAAGATATTTATTGATAGGATAGTTCCTGAAGGGCAGGAGGGGATCTGAGTGGGTAGCCTGGGGACCCCACTTTACAGAGGAGTTTTATAGGTTGAAACCCATGTGGGTACAATGTGGGCCACAGCCATGAACATCCAATAAGGTTACAAATACAGTCACTTACGTAGTGATGGTCCAATTGGGAAACAAGTGACATAAGCAAGTGTGGATGGAAAGAACAAAGATTCTCCCAGGAAGTGGTGGGTCCAGAGGTCCTGGTCACCCACCGGGGTGGTTGAGGTCTGTCTAGACTTCATTAGGCCCAGTGTTTGTTCTTTGAGGAAGTATGCAGGTGTGGTCAGCTTGTCTTTATCTTGAAGTCTGGCTTTCAGCTGATGTGTCTCCAGTGTAGCTCTGGTGTGTTTTGCCTTTGTGCTGACCCTCTCGAGGACCTGGCCCTATCTGACTGCCTGTAATACTTCTACCTAACTCATCTATCTATAATCCTAGATCACTCATCTTGAATATACCCTTTTAAATGTGCTCAACTCTCGATCACATGTCCCTCATTTCTCTGAGCAGCTGCACTCAGCTGTCGAGTGTGTCCTGTATCTCTAATAAATCCTTCTTGCATCTCTTATTCTGATGCATCCTGAAAATTCTTTTTCTCTAATGAGTCAGTGAACCTGTAAACTTATTCTACAAAAAGAGTCAGTTAAGTTCTTTGTTCCAGCCTCAGAAGGTCTCAGACCCCACCATGACATTTCCAGGAACAGCAGGGAGAGTTCCTCCTCCATTGTTGCTCTCGGTGCCTCCCGCTAGGTGTGCCCAGGAGAGCGAGCTTGTGGGTGCCCACCTACCGGGCACAGTTGTGCTCTAACCCATCAGATTCCAGAGAATCCCAAGAGGCTTCTTTTGCCAGCCTGCTGCTCTCAGATACATCTCTGTCCCTGCTCTCTCACCCTGCTGACCCTATGCCTACTGAATCTCAGAATAGTGGCAGGACGGCACCTAGTGAGTTGCCAGGGAACTGTCAGAATCTCACCATTTTACAGCTGGAAAGGATACAAGGAGGTATTTAGATAAGTAACCAGAGGGGATGAGTCTCTTCCACAGATTTATGGCTTGTTGGTAAAGAAAGAAACAGGTGGCAACTCTAAATCAAGCAAGGCATGTCTCAGGTGCCAGGAAGAACTGTCCTCTGCATTAGTGGATCCATGTCAAGACTAAGAGTGTCAGGCTCTTGGCTCTGTGCTGGCTCCCTGGAAGGCACAGGGACAGCTGAACCACAAAGGCACATCTAAACTGCACTGGCGTCCTCCTCCTCCTGTTGGATCTCAGATCCATGCTAATGCACTGGCTGCTGAGCTTCACCATTAGGGTGCATTGAAGACAGACACACACTTTCACAGAAGCAAGCACAGTGAGAGACCAGGATCTGGAGCCCCAAAGTTCTGTGTGTGTGTGTGTGTGTGTGTGTGTGTGTGTGTTTATGGGGGGACTTTAGCTTAGTTCTAATGCTTTAGGGCATTAGGCAGCTTTTCTTAAACACCTTTGGACCCATTACAAACCCTGACCCAGAGTTGAACATACAGTCTGATTGAAATCAAAAAGCTTCCAATTCTAACGCAAATAAGTAGAACCGAAAAATTGTGCGTACTCATTCCTAAGGATTCTTTTCCAACTCCCTGTTCTGCACTCGGTACTGGCACAGCACTGCCCCCACGTGGTTGCTTAAATTCTGACAGCTGGGCTTCCTTGTGACTCTTCCTCCTAGAACAACTTCCTTCTCCACCACTCTTCTCCCGTCTTAGGCAAATGCTAGGTCTGTTCTCCAAGGTGACCTTGGATAGCAGGGTTATCATTATCCAGAGAGAGCCTTCTTCAGGAAATGTTCCTTTGGGCAGGTGTGCCAATCATATTTTTATTTCATTTTATTTATCCACTCACTTGTTTGGGTTTTTTGTTTGTTTATGGCAGTACTTGGGACTGACCCCAGGGCCTTTGCAAGGACCCACATTGGGAGCCCTTTTCATTTTTTATTTTGAGACAGGATCTCATTAAATTGCCCATGTGGAACTAGAACTTGTGATCCTCCTGCCTCAGCCTTTCCTTACAAGCTTGTGCTGCCATACCTAGCTTTAACTTTGTTTTTAATTTTCTCAATTCTATGAAGCTTTGATGTCTCAGGGACCTTACTAATCCTATAGTTACATCCCGCTGTTAGGTAATTCCTAGGAATAGTCAACAACTTCCTTCTGAGTGCACCATTTGTAGGCAAACTGATAATCCCTAAACCCATACCCAAACTACTTCCTATCTAAAGCTTTTGATAGACCACTGTTTCCTGTTCTCTAAATCACCCTGGGGCTTGGTACTGGATAGCTAGAGACCTCTATACCCTAGAGCCCGCTGAAATTATTCAAACCCTGCAATTATAAACTTGTTCAGTTTTGCCTGGCCTGGCCTGGCCTATTCCTTTGCATGGTAACTTCAATGAAGGCTCTGGGCCTCTGTCTGCCAACTCCTGATCAGCCTGTGCCGCACCCTATGGCCCCAGGCATCCTGCATGACCATCTTCAAGAGAACTGGAAGTGAGAAACCTCTGTCCAAGGTGCTTGTCTCCCTGTCTGTCACTTCATCACACCTGATTTATAGCAAATACCCCAGGCACATAATCAGGACATCAGGGCCACACCCAGAGCCAGAAGAAACAGCAGGAAAATCCCACATGGTTTCTCTTCTTTCCTTCCTCTGATGCTTCCAGGCAAGGGGCTTCCCTCTGCTGGTAGGAAGCTCTGCCATTCACTTTCCTAACATTGGGACACCTGGTGATGTAGGCCTTGGGAGCCCTGCATTATGTCTGTGTTTTTTCCTGCTATCTCCCTCTGTCATTGTCATCTGAGTTATTTGTGGACCTGCCCCTTGCAGTTTGCGTGCAGTGTATAACAGACCCTGGCAGACACAGACCCACCTGTCTGCTCCAGACAAGAGGACAGCAGTGGAAACCCACTTCACCTTCCCCTGGAAATCAACCTGCTTCCCTGAGATTCCCTTCCAGGCCAAGAAGATTTCCTTTGGAAAAGCACTGACTCAGGCAAACACCCTTTGGCTTTCTTCTCCCCATAAAGAACTGCTCACCAAAGAACTTGCTCCCTTGCTTTCCACCCAAGGGAGCCATAAATTCTGCACAACAAAAGAAAAGTCATGAAGCCTTCTCTGATTCCTCCTACAGTCACTGATTAAAATGAGGCACAGATGCCAGGCAGGTGTTCAATGTCTTTCCCTCACTTTGGCAAAAAGTGCTTGGATGGATGAGACTAGAGGCAAATCCGGGGGTGCAATTTCGACCCCAAAACTGTTTGCCCTGTGAGTGCCTCTGCCTCTCCCATTCAGCCAAATGTTCTTTTATTCCAATTTGTCACCTTAGCACATTCTGGGGATAAAAAAAAAAAAAAAAACTTGGCCTAGGGCAGGGGCTGGATGTACAGAGAACTGATGGCAGCTGGCTGGGACTTGAGTTTGAAGGTGGACTGCATCCGAGTGGGACAAACACTTATGCCACCCATTTGCTGGCCCTGGGATTAGCTGCCAGCCACTGAGGTAATATGGGGAGAATCAACAACTTGCTTCCATTGCACCTTTCACATGTAACCACCCCTAGATCACACCCTAACCACTTCCTAATCTAGTGAAGGCCTCCTCTCTAGCAGGACAACAGCCTGGGGCTCCCTGCTATTCCTAGGAGGCCTCCTGTCATCAGCACTGCAGCCCCTTCCATGCTCCACAGCTGCTGGGTAATGCTCTCTGTGTGTCTGTCCTTCTAGGGGCTCCCATACAAACACCTGATCACCCACCACCAGGAGCCCTTGCATCGATATCTGATCAGCACATATGACGACCATTACAACCGGCACAATTATAACCCAGGCTTGCCCGCCCTCCGCACCTGGAGTAGACAGAAGTTGCTGTGGCTGCCAGAGAAGGCCGACTTCCCCCTTCTTGGTACTCTTGTACTTCAGGATTTCCCCTGTGTTGGTTTGTAAGGGGCCTGTAAATGCATAAGAATCCACCTTGTGCAGAATAACCAACACGAGGGACTCTGCCTCCAGGAGAGCTGTAGAATGAGGTTATAGAGGAATGAATGAGTCGTGTTTCCCATTCAGGGCCACCATCTGCCTCTCCCCTTGACAACAGAGATAATATTATAGTGACCCCTCACCTAGACACCATGGGGTATGCTTACCTGGAGTACTGGTGGCAGAGAGCTGTACATTGGCTGGATGGACAGAGACTGAATAATTCTCAGATGGCACTCCTTGGTGTAGAACCTGGGGACACGGTGGTGACAAGCACAGAGAAATCCTGCCTTCTGATTTGACATTCTAGTGGAGAGGTAGATGGCAACATTCCTGAATAAGATAACTTCAGATTGAGTAAATAAGATAATTTCAGAGACAGGTGGTGCAGAAAGGAAGCCAGTGATAAATAGAAAGTGAGGTGGGATATTTGTGAACCTCTTTTGGGTCCTGTTAGTCTATGTTCTGACAGAGCAGCCTGGAGAAACCTGCAGGGCCCCACCACCTTTTTGCATGCCTCATCTGTACAAGATTCTTCAAAACCCCATGACACCCAAATGTGGTTTCTCTTGCAGCTCCCCCTACAAACTATGGGCTGTATGAGCGGCTGAAGCAGAGGTGGCTTGCATCCAAGCCTGGCCTGAGTGAAAGCATTTATACTTCATCCTACCCCAGTCCACCTGTGTGCACAATGTCCAGGAGGGAGTATGCCATCCCGGTCCCTCCCCCTCGCCTACACCCTGTCCCACACTTCTGAGAACTGCAACCCCACCAACAGCTCCGCCAGAAACACCTGGAAACTCACAGCATAACTGGACCTGCCTGACAGCAAGCAGTTGCAGACGAACCCAGAATATTAAGTCTGGCCCACTGGAGGGGCCCTGAGAATCAGGTGCTAGGGTTTATGGTACTGTCACCTCCGAACCCAAGGTTTCCTTTCTTTTCCACCCTTTAATTAAAGCTTTTGGACACTGTCTCAGGCCCATGAACATGCAGAAGACAGGTTTGCATTGTCCAAGAAAACCAGGAGAAGTTTGATCTCCTTGTTTCTCAGGAGGGGAAACTGAGGGTAGGATGGTAATGGATTCTCTCGTGTTCTCACAACTGAAAATGTGCCCTCGAGAAGTGTCTGGTACAATGGAGAAATGGATCTGCAGTGATACCCATCACAAAAAGCCAGGGAGTAGTGACAGAGCTTTAGAGAGGAGGTGAAGAAGCTCATCCAGGGTTGTCTCGGCTGGGGATACAAGCATTGGCTCAGAAGAAGGAAGAACACAGGGCATCACCCCTGCACCTCTGAGCTCTGCAGTGCTTTCAGGGATCTGGGAAGGGGAGAGTCTGCTGGTAGGTTTGGGAATGAGGTAGGTATTCCTTTTGAGTTCAGGTGGACAACTCAGGCACTACCACCTTCACCCAGAATAGAAATCCCTCTGGTGTGGTGGCCAGTCTTGGGTTAAGAATGGTGTGTCCATAATCTGGCCTCTTTGACTTTTAGAATTTAATAGTTACAGGCTAGTCTTTCTTTGAAGAACCTTTCTCCACCATCTGCCTCCACCCAATTTGCTTACATCTACTATAGTAAGCACGGTGCCTAGTATAAGCAGTTGGTGCTTAACAGTCCGTAGCTGAGTTTGTGGATGACCCCAAATGTCTTTTAGGGATCCACTCTGGACCATTGCCCTATGTCCTGAGTCTCTGTCTCACTATTCCCCATAAACTTCCACTCCAAGTGGGCCACCATGCCCAAGCCCTGGCCTATCCTGGTCCCAGAAGTCTTTGTTTTGCACAAAGTTCAGCATCCTGCACTTCAGACTCAGAAGAAAATGCCTCTCCTGGGTTCCTTCTGCCACTTTCAGGGAGGAAATCACTTCTCTGCTTCTCCTTCCTTGGCACCTGCTCGTACCCATTCTAGCAGGGTCTAAGTGCCCTTGTTCTGCCAGATCTGCTGTGTCTGCCATCAAAAAGAAACAACAAATAAGCAGCAATCATCTTTATGCTTTGAAGAAAAATTAAAATCATTGGGTAGTTATCCTTCCATGAATCTTTTCCTTAAATCACTTTTAGCATCTGCTATGGTATTCTACACAATGACAGGAAGGAAAGAAGAAAGGAAGGAAAAAAGAAGGAAAAAAAGGAATAAATTCAAGTTCAATATTTATTGCAGGTTGAGTGAACACTGCTAGCCAGGACCTGGGCCTGGAAGGAGTTGATGATCCTTTTGAATCACTACCAGTAGGATACAAGATTAGGATTATTAGGATCATTTCTGTCTCACAGATGAGAAAAAGGGCCAATAAGGATGTGCTGAATGGCCTGAGGTTGTATAGCTTCTGAAGCCAGGAGTGGGATTTGAACTCAGGCGCTGTGGCCACAAGAGTACATGCTGCTTTCTACTTTGTACCCCTCACAGAAATGCCACAGGAACCTTCGTTCTCCTGTGTGCTTGGCTCCTGGGCACTTGCGTGCTTTGGCAATGATTTTGTCCTGTAGAAAAATAAGATGATTCATTTGAAGCCTGGGTTTGTGTCATCCTTCAAACTGGATACCTGATGTCCTCAGGCCTCCTACTCTAGGTTTAGTCCAGCACCTGCTCCAGCTCCATTCATTTTTTGTTGTTGTTGTTCATTTTAATTGATGCATGTTTGCTATACAGGAAGCTTATATTCATTTTTGGGAGTAGGTACATGTACATGACACATCCTGATTCCTTTTTCTTCCCCTTTCCCTCCCCAGTCACCCATCTTCCATTTCTATATCGCCTGTTCTCATTTAACCTTTTCCCTTATTCTTCCAAGAGTCTGAGTATCCTGTCTTCCTTCATGACTGAAAATACCTGACGGACATGCTGCTGTGTAACAGGAATTTTTAAACTCCACTATAATCTCAGAAACCACCTTCCTGTAAGACTGTACATCCAGCAAGCCAGCAAGAAGACCTGGGATCTACAGATAGACCACTGACCAAACAGATAGACCATTGACCAAATGCCCCACTGGGGATGATGTTAAATTTGAACTTGAGATCTGAGGATTCTATGTTCTTCTACTTCCTACAGGGCCCCAGCTGAACCACTGACTGGGCAAGGTATAAGAGTCCAGGGAGCAGCTGGGCCAGCAGGAAACTTGTGGTGACCACAGGGAATGGAAAGGAGGGCCACCCTTTCCTCTCCCCTGAACCCTGACTTTGCTAAGGTTGTTGGTGAGTCTAGGATATCTCTGTTGCTGCAGCATGTCCCACAGAATCTTGACTCCAGCAGCAGGGAGGGAGGTTAGGGGAACCCAAACCACACCCAAGGAAGGCTTTCTCTGCACAGATGGGACCGCTTCCATGCAGGGCCCCGCCAACATCCCACACGAATGTCTTTTCTGGAACAGTGAGGTGGCAGATGAGTTATGATCCCAAGCTCACCCCTGCACCCCACACGCAAAGGAGAGAAAGAGCATCAGATACACAGGCCACAGAAAGGGCCACATCCACCTCTTCCTTATCCTGGAGTCAGGAAGTTGTGGCCACCAGAGCCCACCAGTCTTCCACCCTACACCCTACCCAGAACAAACGCCATTATTTCTGGTTCCCTTGCTGGAGTGCCCCAGAATCTCTTGAATTCTCATCCCAGAGGGAAAGAAAACCTATGCTTGGTCAGATAAAAGAAAGTAGAAGGAAAACTTATTAAGCAAGAGGAAGGGAATAAGAGGTGAGGGTAGAGGTGTAAGGGTGGACAGTAGGAAGCATGGATAGGAGCAAAACAGATTTGGATATGTGAGACTGGGAGGGAGAAAACAGGCAGTCATGAATGGAGAAGTTATATGTTCCTAAAAAACTTCCTATACAGGGCCAGGGATTTAGCTCAATGGTGCCTCCACCTGCCTCTCAAGCACAAGGCCTCAAGTTTGGTCCCCGGTACCAAAAAAACAAACAAAAACAAAAAACAAAAAACAAAAACACTTTCTATACAATATTTTTGAAAGTGAATCTATTTCATCCCCATCTCCATCCCAAAGTGGTGAATTTCAGATGTCTAAGAGATATGTGTGGGAATGTGTATCTCACAGTTAGCACTTTCCATTCTAACTTTAAGATGCTCCATGATAGTGCTACATGGCTTTCACAATTGCTTATTAAAAAAAAAACTTTGTTTTTTTCACTCAGAAGTGGTGTAAGAAATGAGCAGTGATCTGGGAGTAAAAGGTTGAAGGGAAAAAAGGAATTATTTTCCAGTAGTCTTTGAAATTTGAAATGAACTGCCAATCATCTCTAACTTGTATTAATGGGATTGGTGAATGATTGTAATAAAGTGCAGAGACCACAGGAGCAGGAAATTGGGGGCTCAGGTTTCAGGGCTAGGTCAGGCGCATAGCAAGAGAGCAGCAAACTTGAGTGGAGAACGTTAAGGGTTTGCTTAACCAGATTCCGTCATTAATGACCCATGCCTCTGTCTTACAAAAGGAGAAGCTAATGTGTCACCTGGACTTGATTTGCCAATGAGGAACTGATGGTTGAGTCACCTGCCCAAGACCACACAACAAACTAAGGCCAGGGAGCACAGAGGGAGGAGGGAAGGGGGGAAATGATTATTGTCCATCCCTTTTCAATTCTTCCCACCTTCCCTCTCCCAGGGAGTTTCAGATCCTTTCTGATCCGTATTCCTGCCCTCTCTCTCCTGGTCCCACCCTTTGCCCTCCAGCCTTCACTTGCAACTGTAAAACCCAAAGCCTGTGATGCCTTATTGCCCCTGGTGGACAGGGAGTGTGCATGGCAGAGAAGTCAGTGTGAAATGGTGTCTGAGGGCTGGGGTGCAGTAAGGTGATGGGGCCCACCAGGATCTAGAAAGCTGTTGTCAGAGAGTAGCTCGCTCATTTACTTCTGCAGTATGGCCTAGGGGACCACTCTATGCTCGGAAGCGGAAGGGGGTAGGCAGTAACAGTGGAGCCAAATCCTTACAAACAGCGGTGGACAAAGAGGGAGGAAGGCAAAGGAATGAGCAACATCCCAGAAACACGGATGCTTAGTGACCTGGGCAGACACCCCACTGTGCTTCTCTCCAAGTCCTTGATCCAAAGTGGAGATAACAGTACTATCTATCTCCTTCAAAGAATTAATGGAAAATGAATACAGTTGTAAGCCACATTCACAGGTGAGGAAAACAGAGTTTGAACAATTTGGCAAAAGTCTCAAAAATAGACAGTGGCAAGAAGTTGAACTCCTCTTCCCCAAAGTTTCCAAATCCCAAGTTCCACCCTCCTGTCCATCATGTCCCTCAAACATTTCCTGTTCCCTTAAGCTCATTGGACTGCTAGCCCCTTTTCTAAACACTTCCTCCATTCTGTCTTCCATCCTCCACACCCACCAGCTGATTAATGCATTTTCATCCACAAAGATGGTTCTCACCCTCTGAGATTCCCAAGGCAACTACTGACACTTGTGCATGGTTGTCCCGCTGAATGTCTGCCTCCACTACCAGGTGCTGTATGACACAGGGCACTCAAGGGGGAGGAAGATGGAAGAGAAATGTTCCTGCTCTTTCTCAGCAGTGGGGTAGAAGGAGAGACCAGCATTCCAAAATTATTTGAAATTAAAACTCATGATATTTACTTTATAGAGTCTTCTTAATCTACTCTGCCAGGCACTTTGTGAAAACAGAATTTAGAGCAACTGGGCACGTGACATTTCCATTCTCTTGGCTGTAGGGCCCTGGAATGAAGATAAAATTTTTTTCCCTGAAAACAGTTGGGGTGAGCTTTCAGGTTCCATGGTTTTCACTTCCCAGTGAGTCCCCAAATTAGGGTACTATAATTGAAAATGGATGGGCTCTTGGTCACAGTGGCCCACTGTGGGCTAGAGATGTTCATCCTGGTGTCATTAGAGACAGAACTATGGCTTTTGGGCACTAAGTACAGAATATGATTGGGGAAAACTGAGGACTCTCCTATCATTACCAGACCAGGGATTATGACAGAAAGTTGGTTCCTTGGTGTATGAGAAGGGGTTTCTCAGTCTGGTCAGAAAGGTGGCCTGATCCTGGATCTTTCCCTAGAATAGCTGGCATACAGATTCGTGAAGATGAGCTCACAGTCCCAACTCACACTTTTGCAGCAGGTGGGACAAAGCCTGATGAGGGACAAGGACTTGACTATTTATGATGTGGAGGACCTGCCAGAGAAACTCTTCCCACCAGTGATCATGGTGGCCTTAACCAAGGCATATACTGAGCTCCTGAAGGCCATGGTGGCTGCCTAGCACTTTCCCACCTCCCACTTGGGGCACTGATGAACATGAGAAAACCAGAGACATCACAAACATGGTTGGATATTGTCCAGCTATAGGCAGAGAACCTACAGACATTGCAATGTCTTGGATGGGCTTGATGTGCTGCTGTCTCAGAAGGTTCACTCCACATGAAGGTGGCCTAGGTATACTGGAGGGAGGGCTCAGACAGAATGGGGGAAAAAGACAGCAAAGTCAGGGAGAATGGGATACTAAATGGTGGAGCAGAGACTTCTCATAGGAACTGCCAGGAGGATCAGAGTGTCCTTGGCCATTGATGAGCCCTAGTTCGGTTGGCTGGTGGATGAAGAGGACTGCTTATGTTAAAGATAGCAGTGAAAGAAGCAAAAAGAACCTACCACTCACACGGTCTCTAGGAGTAGGGACAGGGCTGGATTCAAAGGGGAAGGGCGAAAGAAAGAAGTAAGGCAAAGAAAGAAGGAATGGAGAAAGAAGAAGCTGATTCTAGGGGAAGTAAATCAGAGGAGCAAAGCTGGACCTGGACCTAAATTCTGTGGATCTGGCCCTAAATTCTGAGACTCCTCCTTGTTTCACCCACAAAAGGTAGAAACTGCAATACTATATTTGCAGAATGGGCATCAGAACTTCTGGAGAGTCTGGTTTGGAAACCTGTCTGATTCCTGCACTGTAGGGGTCATGAGTAGGAGGAAAACAGAGAAGACTGGGGCAAGGGTGGCTGAAAAGCAGGCCTAAAAGGTCATTGTAGACTTGTGCCTCAGGCAGGCATGTCTAGGTGCATTTCTGTCCCACCTACTTGAGTCCAGGAGAGAAAAGGTTTGTTGCATCTGTATTGTATGAAGCTGTGCAATACAGTGGTACCCACCCAAAGCATCGTGAAGGCCTTGGAAATGGTGAACCTGGGTTGCATGAGGGAGGTGAAAGTGCATTTCTTTTGGGCACTCTCAACCCTGGCTAGTTTTGCCTCTCATGTGGGCCAGAAGCAAAATCTCCATAAGCCACTTCTGTCCCACATCCCTGTGCCTGGATCCATTTCACCAGAGGGGAGGGAGTAGTTGGTCACTTGATTCACCTTTTAATGTCTCAAGCTGGACTGTCAGGAAGAGATTTATTTGGACAAGTGGAATGCCGCCTACAGCAGGTGCTCAAGTAAGAAGGGGAGCTCTTACTACAGAACACAGCAAAGCTTTTCATTATACTAAAAAATTTAGTGAACCTGGCCTGGGAACCAGGCCCAAGAGGTGTAACCGAGTTC